TGGACTTTCACTATGGCCCTATGGACCACAAAGGCCACTCAATATGGCCCAAGACCACTCAATAACCCCCTCTAATCCACCCTAAGCCACCCTAAGCCAGCACAAAAGCCACGTACCACAAAGCCAGAAGAGAAGCGGCACAATCCACACAGTGTACATGGTAAGACTGGTCCACTGGACCAGTCTGGACCAGAACCTCTCTCTTACGTTCTCTCTAAACCCCGCCCACTCTATCTCTCAACCTCAGTTAGGTTCTAAGCCAGTTCTGGGGGTTGCAAAGCTAGTATGGGGCTTCTAAGCCAGTTGTGGTGTTGTTGTGGGTTGTTCCTAACCCCCACAACTGGCTTCTAAGCCAGTTGTGGGGGTTCTAAAAAGGGGTTTTTATGGGATGAAAGCCAGTTATGAGGTTTTAAACAGGGTTTACCGTGTTTTAATGCACTTGTTGGGGTTCTGAATTGGTTTTACAGTGCTTTAAACCAACCAGTGGGGTTCTAAATTAGGTTTAGCGTCTTTATAACAAGTGTTAGGGTTCAAACTAGGTTTAAAGTCTTTTAAAGAAGATGTCAGGGTTCTAATGTTGGTATAGCTTTTTTAAAGCAGATTTGGGGGTTCTAAACTGGGTTTAAAGTCTTTCAAAGCGGATGTGAGGGTTCTGAACTGGGTTTATAAGACCGTTGAGGGGGTTCTTAAAGGAGCCGGGGTGTCCTGAGACAGTTATGGGGCTTCTGAAAGGGGTCTTGGCGTTCTTAGAGTTCTAAAAGTGATCTGGAGTGTTCAAATTGATCTGGAGAGTTCAGAAGTGATTCTTGTGTTCTAAGGAAGCTGTGAGGGTTCTAAGACAGGTCTGGGGTGTTCTAGGAGTGCTGTTAGGGTTCTAAAAAGGGGTCTGGAGTGATCTAAGACATTCGTGGGGGTTCTAAAAGGGGTCTTGGGGGTGGTAAGATAGTTGTGGGGGTTCTAAAAGGGGTCTTGGGGGTGGTAAGATAGTTGTGGGGGTTCTAAAAGAGGTCTGGTGAGTTCTACGACAGTTATAAAGGTTCTAAAAGTGGTCAGGGGTGCTCTAAGACAGTTGTAAGGGTTCTAAAAAGTGTCTAGGGCGTCCTAAGTTTAGAGGTTCTTAAATGAGTCTAAGAGTACTAAGACAGTTATGGGGGGTCTAAAACGTGTCTGGGTTTGTTATACGACAGTTGTGAGGGTTCTAAAAGGGGTTTAGGGGTAGTAAGATAGCTGTGAGGGTTCTAAACGGTGGTGGTCGTTCCAAGACAGTTCTGGGGTTCTAAAACAGGTCTGGGAGTTATAAGACAGTTATGGGGGTTCTAAAAGAAGTATGTGGTGCTCTAAGACAGTTGTGGGGTTCTTGCGCGTAGAAAGACAGTTGTGGAGGTTCTAAAACAGGTCTTGTGTGTTCTAAGAACGTTGTGGGGTTCTAAAAGTGGTCTGGAGTGTTCTAAACAAGCTGTGGGGGTTCTAAAAGGGGTCTGGAGAGTACTAAGACAGTTGGAAGGGTTCTAAAAGGGGTCTGGGGTCTACTAAGAACTTGATGGGGGTTCTAAAAGGGGTCAGAAGTGTCCGGAGACTGCTCTGGGGGTTCAAAAAAGGGTCTCGGGTGCACTGAGAGTAGTTATGGGGGTTCTAAAGGGGTCACGGGTGTTCTGAGGACAGTTAAGAGGGTTCTAAAAAGGGACTGGGGTGTTCTAAGACATCTCCGGTGGTTCTAAAAGGAATCTAGGGTGTACTAAGACAGTGATGGAGGTTCTAAAAGGAGTGTGAGGTGCTATAAGACAGTTAAGGGGTTCTAAAACAGTTATGAGGGTTCTAAAATGTGTCTGGTGTGCTCTCAGACACTTGTGGGGCCCTAAAATAAAGGTCCAAGGTACCCTAAGATAGCTGTCAGGGTTCTTAATGGTCTAGGGTGTTCTAAAGCATTTGTGGGGGTTCTGGAACAAGTCTGGGTGCTCTAAGACAGATATGGGGGTTCTAAGACTAGGTACCTACTGCCAGGTACCATGTACCACATTAGGTACCTACTGCCAGGTACATTAGGTACCTACTGCCAGGTACCATGGTATCATCCAGGTTCTTACTGCCAGGCACCAGGTAACACCCCAGGTACTTACTACCAGGTACCACCCAGGTACCAGGTACCACACTAGGTACCTACTGTCAGGTATCAGGTATCACCCAGGTACCTACTGCCAGGTACCAGATAACACCCAGGTACTTACTGCCAGGTACCAGGTAACACCCAGGTACCTACTGCAAGGTACCAGGTAACACCCAGGTGCCTACTGCCAGGTACCAGGTAACACCCAGGTACCTACTACCAGGTAACACCCAGGTACCTACTACCAGGTAACATCCAGGTACCTACTGCCAGGTACCAGGTAACTTCCAGGTACCTACTGCCAGGTACCAGGTAACACCCAGGTACCTACTACCAGGTAACACCCAGGTATCTACTGCTAGGTACCAGGTAACACCCAGGTACCTACTACCAGGTAACACCCAGGTATCTACTACTAGGTACCAGGTAACACCCAGGTACCTACTACCAGGTAACACCCAGGTACCTACTACCAGGTAACACCCAGGTACCTACTACCAGGTAACACCCAGGTATCTACTGCTAGGTACCAGGTAACACCCAGGTACCTACTACCAGGTAACACCCAGGTACCTACTACCAGGTAACACCTGAGTACCTACTATCAGGTAACACCCAGGTACCTACTACCAGGTAACACCTGGGTACCTACTATCAGGTAACACCCAGGTACCTATCAGGTAACACCCGGGTACCTACTACCAGGTACCAGGTAACACCCAGGTACCTACTACCAGGTACAGGTAACACCCAGGTACCACACTAGGTACCTACTGCCAGGTACTGCCCAGGTACCTACTACCAGGTAATACCCAGGTACCTGCTACCAGGTAATACCCAGGTACCTACTACCAGGTAACACCCAGGTACCACACTAGGTACCTACTACCAGGTACCAGGTAACACCCGGGTACCTACTACCAGGTAACATCCAGGTACCTACTTCCAGGTACCAGGTAACACCCAGGTACCTACTACCAGGTAACACCCAGGTACCACACTAGGTACCTACTACCAGGTACCAGGTAACACCCGGGTACCTACTACCAGGTAACACCCAGGTACCACACTAGGTACCTACTACCAGGTAACACCCAGGTACCTACTACCAGGTAACACCCAGGTACCACACTAGGTACCTACTACCAGGTACCAGGTAACACCCAGGTACCTACTACCAGGTACCAGGTAACACCCAGGTACCTACTACCAGGTAACATCCAGGTACCTACTGCCAGGTACCAGGTAACACCCAGGTACAAAGTACCAGGTACCTTATACCCACCTTCCACTGTACCAATCAGCCTCACATTAACCTCCACATATAAGGATCTCTTAAAAGGGTAATACACTAATTTCCACCATATATTTATTGATAAAAACGGGCCCAGGAGCTGTGACTCGACCCCCTGTAGCCACAGGACAAAGATACACAAACCTGTATGGGTTTATTTTCTCTTCAATAATGCTCATACAAGGCTCCATCTATTTATCTATCTGTCTATTTTGCCATCTATTGGTTTAGAAATAATTTTTTTGAATTAGAATTTAAATGTGCATTTCTAAATGAATTTCTAAATTGATTTAGAGATTTATAATTTATTTAGAGATTTCTAAATTGAACCAAATATTATCTATGTCTAAAATTTTAGAATAATTTTTAATTTAGAAATTTTAAATTGAATCATAGATACAGAAATTTTAGAAATAGATCAAATATAATTTATCTAATGATTCATTCTAAATGAACCAAAGATATAGAATTTTAGACAAATCAAATAGCACATTCAAATATCAAAATTTCTAAATGATCAAGAGAATTTCTAAATATTCGAAATTCATAAATACGAAAATTTTCAAAATGATCAAAATTTTCTAAATGATTCAAAATTTCTAAAGTTCGAAATTCTAAAATGATTCGAAAATTTTCTGAAATGATCAAAATTTCGAAATATCAAATTTCTAAATGATTCGAAAATTTCTAAATGATTCGAAAATTTTATCGAAAATTAAGATTCGAAAATTTCGAAATGATTCGAAAATTTCTAAATGATTCGAAAATTTCTAAATGATTCGAAAATTTCTAAATGATTCGAAAATTTGTAAATGATTCGAAAATTTCGAAATGATTCGAAAATTTGTAAATGATTCGAAAATTTCTAAACTGTATTGTGATTTTCGAGCTAAAATACCATTTTCTGGTAACCATTAAAAATATATTAACCCAAATTAAGTCAAAAATTGGGTAAAATTTGGCCTGGGGAGTCAAATTCTCGATTTTTCGGTCAAAAATGTGTTTTTGGTCCTATTTATCCAAAATATGGACGTCCAAATTACTAAACCTATTTGATGTTGCTAGTTTGCTCATTATAACTCACTACTGTTGCTCATTACAACTGTAATGAGCAATGGTAATGAGTAACAGGACCCAGGTTCGAGTCCTTCCCCTGTTTTCCATTTTCCCTTAAAAACCCACATTATATTAGGGTCATATTTCCCCCCTTTCAAAAAATCAACTAATCTATTAACAAATATATATATATATATTTATATATATATATATATATATATATATATATATATATATATATATATATATATATATATAAATCACTCAACAAATAGATACTTGTTGAGTGAATTCGATGACAAGAAAAAATATGTAATTTTATAATGTACATGAAAGATGTAATTTTTTTTTATAAAATAGGCCTAGGCATGGAAAGATCTATAATTTTTTATAAAATAGGCCTAGGCATGGAAAGATCTATATTTTTTATAAAATAGGCCTAGGCATGGAAAGATCTTTTTATAAAATAGGCCTAGGCATGGAAAGCAATCTAATAAATTTATTTATAAAATAGGCCTAGGCATGGAAAGATCTATATTTTTTATAAAATAGGCCTAGGCATGGAAAGATCTTTTTATAAAATAGGCCTAGGCATGGAAAGATCTATATTTTTTATAAAATAGGCCTAGGCATGGAAAGATCTATATTTTTTATAAAATAGGCCTAGGCATGGAAAGATCTTTTTATAAAATAGGCCTAGGCATGGATAGATCTATATTTTATAAAATAGGCCTAGGCATGGAAAGATCTATTTTATAAAATAGGCCTAGGCATGGAAAGATCTATTTTATAAAATAGGCCTAGGCATGGAAAGATCTATATTTTTATAAAATAGGCCTAGGCATGGAAAGATCTTTTTATAAAATAGGCCTAGGCATGGAAAGATCTATATTTTATAAAATAGGCCTAGGCATGGAAAGATCTATATTTTATAAAATAGGCCTAGGCATGGAAAGATCTATATTTATAAAATAGGCCTAGGCATGGAAAGATCTATATTTTATAAAATAGGCCTAGGCATGGAAAGATTATATTTTATAAAATAGGCCTAGGCATGGAAAGATCTATATTTATAAAATAGGCCTAGGCATGGAAAGATCTATATTTATAAAATAGGCCTAGGTCATGGAAAGATCTATATTTTATAAAATAGGCCTAGGCATGGAAAGATCTATATTTTATAAAATAGGCCTAGGCATGGAAAGATCTATATTTTTATAAAATAGGCCTAGGCATGGAAAGATCTATATTTTATAAAATAGGCCTAGGCAAGGAAAGATCTATATTTTTATAAAATAGGCCTAGGCATGGAAAGATCTATATTTTATAAAAGAGGCCTAGGCATGGAAATATCTATATTTTTTATAAAATAGGCCTAGGCATGGAAAGATCTATATTTTATAAAAAGGCCTAGGCATGGAAATATCTATTTTATAAATTAGGCCTAGGCATGGAAATATCTATATTTTTTATAAAATAGGCCTAGGCATGGAAAGATCTATATTTTATAAAACAGGCCTAGGCATGGAAATATCTATTTTATAAAATAGGCCTAGGCATGGAAATATCTTTTATAAAATAGGCCTAGGCATGGAAAGATCTATATTTTATATAACAGGCCTAGGCATGGAAATATCTATTTTATAAAATAGGCCTAGGCATGGAAATATCTTTTATAAAATAGGCCTAGGCATGGAAATATCTTTTATAAAATAGGCCTAGGCATGGAAATATCTTTTATAAAATAGGCCTAGGCATGGAAATATCTTTTATAAAATAGGCCTAGGCATGGAAAGATCTTTTATAAAATAGGCCTAGGCATGGAAAGATCTATATTTTATAAAATAGGCCTAGGCATAGAAAGATCTATATTTTGAAACAAACAGCAACTTTGTTGTAATAAGTAAATTCAATGTCTGAACTTAGCCTAACTTAAGCCAGACTTAAAACTGTCACTTAAGTTGGATGACTAATTTAGATCATATAATCATAAACGATCTAACCCATAGGCATTAAAATCAAATAGGCCTATTATACAGCCTACTCAGTACCATAGTTCTTATATAATATTATCACCGGAACCAAAATATTGAACGGAAGATGAAATCTGAGCTGTGAAGAGTGTTTTAGTCGTCTGGCACTGTCTGGCACTGTCTGGCACTCTGGCACTCTGGTACTCTGGCACTCTGTCTAGCACTGTCTGGCACTGTCTAGCACTGTCTCGCACTGCCTAGCACTGTCTGGCATTCTGTCTAGCACTATCTGGTACTCTGGCACTGTCTGGCACTGTCTAGCCCTGTCTGGCACTGTCTGGCACTATCTGGCACTCTGTCTAGCACTGTCTAGCTCTGGTACTCTGGCACTGTCTAGCACTGTTTGGCACTGTCTAGCCCTGTCTGGCACTGTCTGGCACTATCTGGCACTCTGTCTAGCACTGTCTAGCTCTGGTACTCTGGCACTGTCTGGCACTGTCTGGCACTGTCTGGCACTGTTTGGCACTGTCTAGCCCTGTCTAGCCCTGTCTGGCACTGTCTGGCACTGTCTAGCACTCTTCCTAGCACTCTAGCACTCTCAGAGAACAACACATTCTAACACTCTAATTGGCAGGTCGAGGTCGTCTGAGGGGAATCCTTCGCTTGATAGATGTAGGTTGAACCGGTGCTGCGGTGGTAGTTGTGGGTGGTGGTAGTGGTACCTCAGCACCATAGTCGTACACTGCACCATCAGTGTAGTCAGTGTAGTCAGTGTAGTCCTCAGGGCCACCCTGGGGGGGTGGTGGTGGTGGTGGGGGGGTAGTGGTGGTGGTTGGTGGTTGTGGTCGGAAGCGTCGCTTTGGAACCGTGCTGGGGGGGGAGGGGTACGGAAAATGTTGATTTAGACAATTTTGATTTAGAAAATGTTGACTTAGACAATGCTGATTAGAAAATGTTGATTTTGGACAACTTTGATTTAGACAACTTTGATTTAGAAAAATTTGTTTTTGACAAGTGTCATTACTCAAAAAATTTTGATACAAACTGTTTTGATTTAGAAGATTATTGTAATTTAGACAATTATCTGGAAATATTACAGTAGTTATATATATGTCAAATGAACTAACTTTATTTTACCCCCATTTAACCTCATTTTAACCTTCTACCATCATTTTAACCTCATTTTAACTTCATTTAACTTCATTTTACCCTCATTTAACCTCATTTTAACCTTCTACCATCATTTTAACCTCATTTTAACTTCATTTAACTTCATTTTACCCTCATTTAACCTCATTTTAACCTTCTACCATCATTTTAACCTCATTTTAACTTCATTTAACTTCATTTTACCCTCATTTAACCTCATTTTAACCTTCTACCATCATTTTAACCTCATTTTAACTTCATTTAACTTCATTTTAACCTCATTTAACTTCATTTTACTTCATTTTAAGCTCATTTAACCTTATTTTAACCTCATTTAGCTCTCATTTAGCCTAATTTTAACTTCATTTTAACTTCATTTTAACTTCATTTTAACTTCATTTTAACTTCATTTTAACTTCATTTTAAACTCATTTTACTCTCATTTAACCTCTAATCTCATTTTAACAGTATTTACTTGCGTGGGGCGCCAGCAGTGAGCGACGGGGGTGACACGTCACCGTCCTGGGACACCAGTTCTTCTTGTCTAAGATAGATAGACGAAATACAGTGTAGATTAATTATTATTATTATTATTATTATTATTAATATTATTATTATTCTCCCAGTCTGGGTCTTTTCCAGATGGTGACCTGGTCTTGGCTCCCTGTCTTGGTAGTGTCTCAGACCAATGTCTGCCATGGAAGGAGGTACAAGTACCTCCTCATCTTCTGGGACCAACTGTCCACAGGCCTAGCCCCATTCCCCGTTCTCAGGGGCTCGTAGGGAGAAGCTACGCCGCTGGTCGGCCATCTTCCCCGCCCCAGGGAGGCTCGTGGGAGTGGCAGTCTTCTTTAATTATCATTATTATTATTACTATTATTATTATGGAGTCTGATGACTCTCATCTAAGTCACAAAATGTCAAGGCAGTGTCTAGGACATCTCTCCTAGCCTAGTCTTCAAAACCATGTTGAGTTGGGCCCAGAAGCTATAACTTGACCCCTGGGAACCCCACTGGATGAGTATATGAGTTTAAGCCTTTAAGTCTTTAAGTCTTTAAGCCCCATTAACTAGTCTTATTGACCCTGGTGTAGTAGATAGACTTTAAACCTCATTAACCAACCAATCTAAATGACTCTGGTGTAGTAGATAGACTTTAAACTCCATTAACCAACCAACACTTACCTTCTAGCTGGTAGTTTACCAGCTTTGCGAACAGTAGCAGCAGCTGGTGCAACAGCAGCTGGTGCAGCAGCAGCTGGGGCAGCAGTAACCCCACGTGCCCTAGAGGGTCTGGGTTGGGTTTGCAGTAGTTTTGGGTCCACATGGAACCTCTCTTGAATGCTGGGTACGTCATACCCACTAGCCAGGGCAGCTGCCAGGATATCTACACTGACACGGCCGTCAGTGGCTGTCAGCGTGTTGAAATAGTCTTCAAAATAGGCAGTGTAGTAGTCAGCACTGTCAGGAAGACAAGATCACTTTAGAATGATGGAACAATAGTATCATAACAGTAGTAGTAATAGTAGCAGCACGGCAACAAGCTGTACGACTAACTTACCACTCTGGAACTGCCTGAGGGGCGTCACAGCCTGCCAACTTACCACTCTGGAACTGCCTGAGGGGCGTCACAGACTGCCAACTTACCACTCTGGAACTGCCTGAGGGGCGTCACAGCCTGCCAACTTACCACTCTGGAACTGCCTGAGGGGCGTCACAGACTGCCAACTTACCACTCTGGAACTGCCTGAGGGGCATCACAGCCTGGCAACTTACCACTCTGGAACTGCCTGAGGGGCGTCACAGACTGCCAACTTACCACTCTGGAACTGCCTGAGGGGCGTCACAGACTGCCAACTTACCACTCTGGAACTGCCTGAGGGGCATCACAGACTGCCAACTTACCACTCTGGAACTGCCTGAGGGGCATCACAGACTGCCAACTTACCACTCTGGAACTGCCTGTGGGGCGTCACAGCCTGCCAACTTACCACTCTGGAACTGCCTGTGGGGGGTCACAGCCTGCCAACTTACCACTCTGGAACTGCCTGAGGGGCGTCACAGCCTGCCAACTTACCACTCTGGAACTGCCTGAGGGGCGTCACAGCCTGCCAACTTACCACTCTGGAACTGCCTGAGGGGCATCACAGCCTGCCAACTTACCACTCTGGAACTGCCTGAGGGGCGTCACAGACTGCCAACTTACCACTCTGGAACTACCTATGGGGCGTCACAGCCTGCCAACTTACCACTCTGGAACTGCCTGAGGGGCGTCACAGCCTGCCAACTTACCACTCTGGAACTGCCTGAGGGGCGTCACAGACTGCCAACTTACCACTCTGGAACTGCCTGAGGGGCGTCACAGGCTGCCAACTTACCACTCTGGAACTGCCTGAGGGGCATCACAGGCTGCCAACTTACCACTCTGGAACTGCCTGAGGGGCATCACAGCCTGCCAACTTACCACTCTGGAACTGCCTGAGGGGCATCACAGGCTGCCAACTTACCACTCTGGAACTTCCTGTGGGGCGTCACAGGCTGCCAACTTCGAGTTGAAGACTTGACCAAAGGCACAGCCGTTCCTGCGAGGATTGACTCCACTGATACAGACATAGAAGTACTGACAGTCTGTTGGATCAGCATACCGGGGATGGGAGACAGCAATGTCATCTGTCACCTTAGGACAGTCGAACTCAGCTATCACTGTAGGAGAGACAGAAATTGTTGACTATGATATACATATACCTTAGACCACTTAGCCATCAGTGTTACATACATCAGGTACCCAGTAACACTTGGGAGTTGAATGATAGCTCTAGGTCATTCGTCTTGCAATCAATACATCAGGAGCTTGCAATGTTGCAGTAAATAGGACGTCCTCTTGTCTGCTACACTGCAACCTCCTGATGTGTTGATTATAACACGAAAGGCCTAGAGCTATCATTCAACTCCCCCAGGTTTTACACACACACACACACACACACATATATATATATATATATATATATATATATATATATATATTATATATAATTATATATATATATATACTGTGTTTATATATTTTGAACTCTGTCTAGTATAAGTCTACCTAGTTTGATGTCTAACTGTTCAAATTCTATATATTTCTAAGTTAAATTACTGGAATGGGATCTGTTTCAAAATCTATATACTTAAAACACATCTATGTTGATGTCTATCTACTCAAAATGCATCTATTACAAAGACACCTTTCTCTAGGTGACTGTGTTGCAACATACCATCAGAGGAGCAGCCTTGTCTGGCTGCAACATCCGGCCAGACACAATTATGGCTGTCCAGCCCATAGACCAGACCCTCTGGACAGGTCACCAGGTTACCCGTCCCTGCATTGCAGAAATAAAATTTGTTGCAGACTGTCTCATCTGGGTGCTGGAAGTACCCATTCTGGCGTGGGCACACGTCTGTAGGCTGGGCAGGCTCTGTGGGGGATGAAAGGATTTAATAGGCCTAGGGTTGTGTTCTGAGTAGGCTGATAGCTTTAGATTAGCATGGTCCAGTAGACCTACTGTAGTGTTGAATCTACCTAGCATGGTCCAGTAGACCTAATGTAGTGATGACCCTATCTAGCATGGTCCAGTAGACCTACTGTAGTGTTGAACCTACCTAGCATGGTTCAGTAGACCTACTGTAGTGTTTAACCTACCTAGCATGGTCCAGTAGACCTACTGTAGTGTTGAACCTATCTAGCATGGTCCAGTAGACCTACTGTAGTGTTGAACCTACCTAGCATGGTCCAGTAGACCTAATGTAGTGATGACCCTATCTAGCATGGTCCAGTAGACCTAATGTAGTGATGACCCTATCTAGCATGCTCCAATAGACCTACCCATGCCACTCAGCCCAAGTAGACACACAGACAATACTCACGTAGTTTAGGCCTGCCAGTACAGTCGACAGATGAAATATAATCGCATTTCTCGATCCGGGGGTTCAAGTCTACAAAGGCCAGACCGTCTGCACACATCTTCTCAGTCAGGACATTGTCGACACACTCGTAGTACCTATCACATTGTTCTGCGTCAGCGAAGAACCCATCAGGTGCTGGACATTCAGGTACCACGCCCTGAGCTTCGACTGAAATCAGAGATTTTGTGATTACATGTTGAGTACAAGAGTGTGTATATGAGTACATGTTGAGTACGAGGGTGTGTATATGAGTACATGTTGAGTACGAGGGTGTGTATATGAGTACATGTTGAGTACGAGGGTGTGTATGTGAGTACATGTTGAGTACGAGGGTGTGTATATGAGTACATGTTGAGTACGAGGGTGTGTATGTGAGTACGTGTTGAGTACGAGGGTGTGTATGTGAGTACATGTAATAGATAGTCTTCAAACCCCATGAATCAGCTTACACATCTCAAGGATTTTAATCCTGTTATCCTTCAAGGATATCTTCCTGGCAATGAGGACCTCTCCTTTGTTCCAGGAAGCTGTGGCAGTAACTCAAATTCCTAGGATCAAAAGCCTTTCCTAGAAAATGATGCACTATTTATATATACATAGTGTGTGTTGTTAAATCCCTGCAGAAATCCTACTACAAATCCCACTTGCAACACAAATCCCTTACGGAATCCCACATAAATCGACTACCCGGATATACTTTCACTACCCCTTAAAGTGACTCCTTAACCAACCGGTTCTATCCCTTAAACCCCCTTGAGAACCTGTTTAGAACTATCTAATCCCATTATACAGTCCTGTGAATTGTTGTAGTTGTGGTGTTGTGAATTGTTGTGGTAGTAGACACAACCAGGCCTATCCCAACCCTAGGCCTAATTTTTCTGAAATTTTTAGCATTACGAAAAGATCACGATTTTAATACAGAAGACCAAATTTGCATAAATTATAATTATCAGACGATGTTGTTCACGTAGTCTCCTCAACCTCCATATCTGGCGCCAAACATGAAAGAGTAATAGAGAAAATGAAAGAACTAAGGAGAACAGGTAAGTGAGAGGAAACATGGAGATACAGCCAACCAGTAAAGCCCGCAGCACCATTGGGTTCGTTAGCACACCGATAGAAACAATTAACTTTATTAATTTTCTAAATACACTACCTAACAAGGTACTCGTGTCTATACTGGAATGGGTACAGACATGCATGACAACATTAGGACCTGTCTTGGAAACTCATTAGCTTATAGTAACCTGTTACCATTAATTTGTTATCACTGATGGTCATCAACTGCGGGGTTAATTTAAGTAATTTTAAGCCAGCCCGTAATCTATCTAGTACTAAGTGGTTAGCATACATGAATCTTACCGTATTTGTTGTACCTCAGTAAAGTTCTCACACATTTTTAAATTAATATAAATAAATAAATAAATATTTATAGAGTTCACGAATCGCTATCAGAAATCTAAACAAGATCCTAGGTTATGACATCGACAGATTACTCAACTCTACATCCTCACATAACAAGGAAGTGAACCTAGCAAAACCCGCCTAGGCTAACTTTTCCGGTTCGATGCAGCCCCCTCCCACATCATGAAACCCCTGGAAAAGGGATGTGATCAGCCCTCTGTTTAAATTTACCCTTGGGGTCCCCATGTCTTAACAACTAAAACCAAATGTAAAACTCCAAGAGTCCGGGAACAGGGGCCCCCCGCTTTATCGCTGGCACCAGATTAAAGCCCAAAATTCAGGAGGGAAAAAAGCCCTGAAACCACATCAGAGAATCACTGAAAATTTAATGTAAAGGCTGGGAAAAAACTAAAGAAGAGGCAAGTATATAACACGAGGAACCCCTATTTACCCCGACAGGGGGAAAAACCCCCCCAAACCCTCAAAAACTACCGACTTCACCATTTAACACCCCCAGCCCCCCAGATCCCCAAAAAAGAACCTCACCAAAGGTCCCCAAAACTTCATCCCGAGGGGAACTTCACTCGACCAAGAATCTGGGGTGACCTCCCTGGAGGGAAAATTTGAAAGGGAAAGGTTTCCCCCAGAACTATTCCCGTTTGTTAAAATAATTTAAAGCTCCCCAATTTTGGGGGGCCCATTTTGTCAAACTTCACCTTACAACTAAAACCTTTTACCTCTACGCCCTCCTACAGCAGGACATCACCTCGGAAAATGCTTGGGCCAAAACCCAAATCCAAAGGGGGCAAAAACCCTCTCCCAAAGAACTGCAACTACCAAACCCGCAGCTGCAGCCTTATGACCGACCTCTTTCGCGAAAAAAGGCAATTGCAAACAGTATACATCCTTCCAATTCAGCGGCACACCGGTATACAGCTGGTATAGCGGTGTACAGCTGACAGGCAGGAGGTATACCTATCTTATGAATTCAACTTTTTCAGGAATAGCGCAAGATATATACTTATTAAAGTTGCACCAAAGTGGTTAGGCCACTTACCTTTAAACCCCCAACCTCCCCACCAACCTCCCCACCAACCTCCCCACCAACCCTTTATCATACTTCCATCCTGACCTACCTTCTTCCTCCCCCAGCTTACCAAAGCTCTGTTCAGAACCTCGCACCTCGCATTTTACCGTTGTAATTAATTTTTAAAGTGGTGAAGGTTAAGCCAGTGGAAGGCCTCGGCCAGATGACCAAAAGCTCCAACTCTGACCCATCGTGTGGCTAATACCAGCTTTCAGGAAATATTTGTCCTGTTTCCTGACAAACTTTATCTAATCAATGGGGGTTTTCAGCACTGGCATGAAGGACCCAAATACAAGGTGTGTGACCTTTATGACCCTTCCCCGAACGTCATAAAGGTCACTTTGCAACTCCCTTAATGACCCTACAATTAGCTTCAGAACCTGTCTTTGCGGCCTTCAACGTTTACTCTCCCCTACTCTGTAAACCTGTACACAAATAGTATACCTGAACCCTGAACACCCCAAACACACTTACACTAAGTCAGGGGTCCCCACATGTGGCCTTCTGGGTAATAAATGCGGCCCCTCATCACACATCTGACCCTCCAATATAGGTTGTGTAAGAAACTTGAAGACCGCTACACCAGGATGTGCTGACCTCATTACTCACCACACAGAATTTGCTTCTGGGAAAGCCAATGACGTATAGAGGAAACAATACATCCAAAACCACTCATTGTGACCTTAAGAACGGCCCCAACTACCTGTAGAAGTCAAAATTACCTCCATCACACGTACACCCATACCACGAACACGAAATACAACCATTACTGTATAGTTATCTTCGACTACAATCACAGACTACACACGACACTGCCAAAAGAATTAGACGTAGTGTAGCCCCTGGTAGACTATATAGCCTTCAAGGTGCACATTCGTATAAATAACTACACCTATACAAGGCCCTTATACGGCCTCCTGGCCCTTGGGAGACTAACAGGCCAAATAGAGCGACTACAAACCCACCACGATCCATGGACGACCTAAATTAGACCACAAGACGGTCACACCTCTAAACCAGTCTCTTTACAATCCCTGATCTTTCTCTCTGTACCTAGTCCAGGGGTGGACCTGAAAGAGGCCCTTATTTTGGCCCATCAATACCAATCCCTTCTTAACCTCAGGGCCCGGATCTACTGTGAAACTAATGCAGATTAAGCTTCAGGGCCCCCATAACAGTTCAAGCTTCAGGGGCCCATAACAGTTCAAGCTTCAGGGACCCATAACAGTTCAGACTTCAGGACCCCCGTAACAGTTCAAGCTTCAGGGTCCCAATAACAGTTAAAGCTTCAGGGCCCTAAAATGTAGGTCGCAGCCCACCGACCTGCTGCAGCATTCCACAGAGGTATTTTTACGGCTCTGAGAACATTTCAGGAGTTCTGAGAGAGAGTGACCTTGGTGGTGTAATTTAAAAGGGTTGAAACCACGCCTTACGGGATCCTCAAGATGTGAAAGGTCACTAGGAGGGTTCCCAAAGGTCACTGAGAGAGGTTACAGAGAAAGGTCACTGGAGGGGTTACAAAGGTCACTGGAGGGTTACGAGAAAGGCATGGGAGAGGTTACAAAGGTCACTGAGGAGGTTACAGAAAAAAGGTCACTGGGAGAGGTTACAAAGGTCACTGAGAGAGGTTACAGAGAAAGGTCACTGGGAGAGGTTACAAAGGTCACTGAGAGAGGTTACAGAGAAAGGTCACTGGGAGAGGTTACAAAGGTCACTGAGAGAGGTTACAGAGAAAGGTCACTGGGAGAGGTTACAAAGGTCACTGAGAGAGGTTACACAGAAAGGTCACAGAGAGGCTACAAAAATCACAAGGAAAAATGGAGAAAGGTAACTCAAATGTAATTAAAAAGGTCCCTCCCTCAGCTTAGGGACTAATAACCTCAAACTCCTCCTCTTTTCCACCTATTTCTGCATTGGACTGAAGAAACCAGTGTGGGGCGAAACGTTTCATTAATAAATGTTGCTAAACTGTCCCATATATCACGGTGTGTTCTGCAAACCACTGATTAAGAACTTGCAGTGGTCAATATTGTGAGGGACCATGACCCGAAGAACCCGATTTACGACCAGGCAGAACCACGGTGGTTCTCCACAGTTGGGGAAGAACCTCTTGCGGCCAGACAAGACCAAAAATGTTTATAAGTTTCTACAAGAACCAAAGGGATGAAAACACTGAACCATAATACGCTGCCATCGGGACCACTGCCACGTTCCCACAAACTATAGACTAAAAGCGGCATAAAAAGCCCATTATAAGACTCTTCCCTGCTGGAATAAAAGGCTAAAGGCCCCGGCTCTCCCAAAGACTTCTGAGGGAAGGAAAAAGCCGATAGATAGAGCCTCTGAAGGATATTACCAAAATTATTTCCACTCCCTTGGGCGGATCCAAGATGGCGTCCTGGAGCCAGGACGCTAAGAACGAAAGTAGAGCTTGGAAAATCACTTCCCAGGCACTTTCCACGCCTTTTTTGGCCCGAAATGGAGTCAGTGGAGGTAGGGGGAGGGAGGGTAGAAACGTAGCACCGCTAATAAGCACATTTGGCCTTATGGATAACAAGGGCCCTCGTAGAGTAACTTCAGAAAAGAAGACCCGTCGAACAGGGTCTATACGGCCCCTACTGATTTACCGCTCTCCACGATAACGAAGCAATATCCCCAACGTATATACCAACTCATATATCCTTATTAATATCCCGGGAGCGCTAAATCCGTAAGGGATATACAGCAACACTTAGAGACGCCTGCAACACCACTCTTCTATCACTCTAAACTTAATATATACAGATTTATATACTTGGTATATACAGGTATATGAGCATATACAGGTAAAATCGGTAATGCAATAATATGAGAAATATTTGTACTTTCAGTGGTCGTAAGAGTGAAGGTGAACTTTGTATTTAGTTCAACATCGATAGGCGAGAGTCTTGGTCCTGTTGTTGGTACCATTGATGCTACTGTTGCTCCTGTTGTTGGTACTGTTGGTGCTATGTTGTCCTTTTGGGGAAAGCTGAGAGATGTATGTTCCCAGTGTATATACTGAGGGGATAAAGTGATAAATAGATAGTAGATAGTAGATAATAGAGAGAGAGAGAGAAAAGAGGAGAGAGAGGAGAGAGAGAGAGAGGGGAGAGAGAGAGAGACGGGGAAAAAAACAGACAGACAGACAGACAGAAGAGACAGAGAGAAATAAAAACAAAACAAAAGAGAGAGAGAGAGAGAGAGAGGAGAGAGAGAGAGAGAGAAAAGAGAGAGAGAAGAGAAAAAGAGAAAGAGAGAGAGAGAGAGAAAAGAAAAGAGAGAGAGAGAGAGAGAGCAGACAGACAGAACAGACAGAGAGAAATAGACAGACAGAAAGAGAGAAAGAGAGAAAGAGAAAGAGAGAGAGAGAGAGAGAGAGACAGACAGACATTCACTAGACAACCTTGAAGTGAGTTAATTGTTAAAAGTAAGACCTAACGGTATTATCTCTCTCTCTCTCTCTCTCTCTCTCTCTCTCTCTCTCTCTCTCTCTCTTCTTCTCTCTCTCTCTCTCTCTCTCGTGAAGAAAGTTCAAGAAATCGTATATACACACAAGAGAAACTTTTTGTATGAGTGTGATAGATAGTGTGATAGATAGTGCGATAGATAGTGCGATAGATAGTGCGATAGATAGTGCGATAGTGCGATAGATAGCGCGATAGAGATAATGTGATAGAGAAAGAGAAAGTGTGATAGATGTGATAGATAGCGTGATAGATAGAGAGATAGTATGATAGATAGATAGTAAGAGTGAGAGGTCGGTGTTGCAAAATTCAACTGAACAGGTTCTGTGAGGTGACTGTTGAAGTGAGTGAGGTGTGGCTACCAGTGTCTTGTCTACTGCAAGGTCACTACAACAACAACAGTAACAACAACAACAACAACAACTGAACAGGTTATGTGAGGTGACTGTTGAAGTGAGTGAGGTGTGGCTACCAGTGTCTTGTCTACTGCAAGGTCACTACAACAACAACAGTAACAACAACGGGTACAGCAGCAGGAGCAACGGGAACACCAGCAGGAACAACAGTAGCAAAAGAAACAGCAATAACAGGTAACGGAGCTTGACAGAGAAAGTGAAATGTCGTCAGCAGAGCAGAAAGAGAAGTGACAGAGGTGTAACGACCTTAGTTGATAGACAGACAGGCAACACAGGTAGATAGGCACGTGAACAGGTAGACAGGCAGATACAGACAGGAGGAAGACAGGCAGATAAGAAGGCAGGTAGACAGGCAGAATACAGAAGGGCAGGCAGGGAGACAGGCAGATAGGCAGGTAGACAGGCAGATTAGACAACAATAGGGCAGGCAGGTAGACAGGCAGGTAGACAGGCAGATAGACAAGCAGATAGCAGCAGGTAGGGAAAGGGAGGGTAGTCAAGCAGATAGACAGGCAGGTAGACAGGAGGTAGACAGGCAGACAGACAGAGAAGAGGGAAACAGGGAGAGTAGGGCAGGTGAAGCCAAGCTACAAAGAGGGACTACACAGGCAATGAGAATTTCCCGCATGAAGTTCAGTGGGACAAAGGGAACTGGTGGGGAAATCAATAAATGGATGGTGGAATAGTGAGAACAAATGGGAAGGAAGCTGAGGAGGGATTCTGTACCCAAGAGCAACCAGAGGTATGAGGAAAGGGCCCGAACGAGTCCTTGTTCAAGAAGTTGTAGAGAGGCCAAAACTAAGTGTGCTAGAGAATGGAAGAAGTATAGAAGGGCAAAGGCCAGGAGAATTAAAGGAAAAGCAGTCGTACAGCCAGAAATGATATGCACAGGTAAGAAGGGAGGCCCAATGACAATTGAAAATGACATAACAGGAAAACCAAGTCTGAACTGAAGCTGTTGTACAGCCAATCAGGAGGAACACAACAGGTCAAGGACCAGGTAATCCCGGGTTTGGGAAAAGGGAAAGGGAAAGGAAAGGGAAAGGAAGGAAGGAAGGAGAGTAATAAAAAAGAAACGACCAAGAGTTTTGTGAGGAGCTAACAGGAGATTTAAAGAAGTATTCACAGTGGAGACAGAAAGGACGGAGAGGTTGGATACACCATCAAGTGCTGGACACGATATGTACAAAACCCAGGGAGGAGAAGCTGCTGCTAAGTGAACAGATATCCAAAAGCGTGGGGAACCCGGTAACATTTCTCATGGGAGCAGAGGCACTATGTGTACCCCTAACAACAATCTTCAACATATCTATTGAAACAGGACGACTACCTGAGGTATGGAAGTCAGCAAATGTAGTCCCAATGTTTAAAAAAGGAGACAGACACGAAGCATAAGGCTTCAGACCAGTGTCCCCTGAATGTATAGTTATGCAAAGTCGTGGGATTTTCAGAAGGAAGAGTGGTGGAGCACCTAGAAAGGAATGAGCTTATCAACGACAACTAGCAGGTTTAGGGGTGGAAATCCTGCGTTAAAAAACCTACTGGAGTTCTATGACAAGGGGGGAAAGCAGTAAGAGAGCAGGGGTGAGTAGATTTCTTTTCTTGGACTGTAAGAAGGCTTTTTGACACAGTTTACAAAAGAGGGATAACAGGGAAACAATGGTTTGAGAATAACCCGAAGGAAGCAGCAGCGGTCATGGTAGTGGCGAGGGTTGTCAGAAGTGGGGCCTGTGGAGCAGGGTCCCACAAGGATCAGTCCTAGGACCAGTGCTGTTTCTGGTATTTGTCAACGACATGACGGAAGGAATAGACTTAGAGTGTCCCTGTTTGCAGATGACGTGAAGTTGATGAGAATTCAGTCGGACGAGGACCAGGCAGAATTACAAATGGATCTGTTCAGGCTGCAGACCTGGTCCAGCAACTGGCTCCAGGAGTTCAACCCCACCAAGTGCAAAGTAATGATGATCGAGAAAGAGCAAAGAAAACCGCAGATGGAGTACAGTCTAGGGATGACAGAGACTACAAACCTCACTCAAGGAAAAGGATCTTGGAGTGTGCATAACACCGAGCACATCTCCTGAGGCACACAACCAAATAACTGCTGCAGCATATGGGTGCCTAGCAAACCTAAGAACAGCATTCCGACATTTCAGTAAGGAATCGTTCAGGACCCTGTACACCGTGTACGTTAGGTCTATATTGGAGTATGCGCACCAGTTTGGAACCCACACCTAGCCAAGCAGGTAAAGAAACTAGAGAAAGTGCAAAGGCTTGCAACAAGACTAATCCCGGAGCTAAGGGGTATGTCCTACGAGGAGGTTAAGGGAATTCGACACTAAGGGATAGGAGGAACAGGGGGATATGATAACGACATATAAAATACCGAGAGGAATCGACAAGGTGGGAGATAAGATGTTCCAGAGATGGGACACAGCAACAAGGGGTCACAATTGGAAGTTGAAGAATCAGATGAGTCACAGAGATGTTAGGAAGTATTTCTTAAGTCAGAGAGTTGTCAGGAAGTGGAATAGTCTGGGAAGTGATGCAGTGGAGGCAGGAACCATACACAACTTTAAGACGAGGTATGATAAAGCTCAAGGAGCAGGGAGAGGACCTAGTAGCGACCAGTTGAGAATCGGGGCCAGGAGCTGTGACTCGACCCCTGCAACCACAAATAACTGATTACAAACAGGCAGACACTACTTCCCACCTCCAGAACTGTAACATTCTCACTCATCCTTCAGAGTACAGGTACTGTACTTCCCACCTCCAGAACTGTAACATCCTCACTCATCCTTCAGAGTACAGGTACTGTACTTCCCACCTCCAGAACTGTAACATTCCTCACTCATCCTTCAGAGTACAGGTACTGTACTTCCCACCTCCAGAACTGTAACATCCTCACTCATCCTTCAGAGTACAGGTACTGTACTTCCCACCTCCAGAACTGTAACATCCTCACTCATCCTTCAGAGTACAGGTACTGTACTTCCCACCTCCAGAACTGTAACATCCTCACTCATCCTTCAGAGTACAGGTACTGTACTTCCCACCTCCAGAACTGTAACATCCTCGCTCATCCTTCAGAGTACAGGTACTGTACTTCCCACCTCCAGAGCTGTAACATCCTCACTCATCCTTCAGAGTACAGGTACTGTACTTCCCACCTCCAGAACTGTAACATTCTCACTCATCCTTCAGAGTACAGGTACTGTACTTCCCACCTCCAGAACTGTAACATCCTCACTCATCCTTCAGAGTACAGGTACTGTACTTCCCACCTCCAGAACTGTAACATCCTCACTCATCCTTCAGAGTACAGGTACTGTACTTCCCACCTCCAGACTGTAACATCCTCACTCATCCTTCAGAGTACAGGTACTGTACTTCCCACCTCCAGAACTGTAACATCCTCACTCATCCTTCAGAGTACAGGTACTATACTTCCCACCTCCAGTACTGTAACATCCTCACTCATCCTTCAGAGTACTTACCAGTCACCAGAGTACACACACACGCTACCAGTAGGACCCACATCTTAACACTAACATATATTCGCTTCCTCCACAAATCCTTTCACTCTGATCAACCTTGTACGTCCCTCCACCACCAGTCCACCTCCCTATAACGACCTCCTACCCTCGTATATACCGTTATATATACGTTATATATCCTGTTGCAACTACAGTATATCCACTTTGCATTTGCTGTGTTGATTTCTGAAGGGTTTAAGTAGGATTTAATAGATACAGTGCGATAGATGGAGGCTTGGAGAGGTGAAAGTTGAGTGGATAGATAGTCACGGTGTTTGGATAGACTTGCATTTACTAGTGTTTTTTGACGTGTGTGTGTGTGTGTGTATACACTGAGAGGTGTATATCTCAGTGTATATACACTGAGAGGTGTATATGTCAGTGTGTATACACTGAGAGGTGTATATCTCAGTGTGTATACACTGAGAGGTGTATATCTCAGTGTGTATACACTGAGAGGTGTATATCTCAGTGTATACACTGAGAGGTGTATATCTCAGTGTGTATACACTGAGAGGTGTATATCTCAGTGTATACACACTGAGAGGTGTATATTTCAATGTATAATACACCACTGGTAACCTGACAGTTAGCAGTGAAACACAAACGAGCACAAAGTCTACCTACTGAGGCAGGTTAGGTCAGGTTAGGTTAGGTTAAGTTTGGTTAGGTTTGGTCAGGTCAGGTCAGGTCAGGTTAGGATTAGGTTTAGGTTAGGTTAAAATTGTGAAAGTAATGTTTGAGGCTGTAAGAAAGGTGTTTATATACTGGTTTGTACTTGTCTGGTAACCTGTTTTGTGATGTGTGTTGTACTCATCCAGTTGTGGTTGCAGGCTTCGATTCACAGCTCCTGGCCCCACCTCTTCACTGGTCGCTACTAGGTCCACTCTCTCCCTGCTCCCTGAGCTGTATCATACCTCTTCTTATAGCTATGTATGGTTCCTGCCTTCATTATATCACTCTCCAGATTGTTCCACTTCCTAACATCCCTGTGACTCATCCGAGTCTTCAACTTCCAGTTGTGTCCCCTTGTTGTTGTGTCCCCTTGTTGTCGTGTCCCCTTGTTGTTGTGTCCCCTTGTTGTTGTGTCCCCTTTGTGTTGTGTCCCTTGTTGTTGTGTCCCCTTGTTGTTGTGTCCCCTTGCTGTTGTGTCCCCTTGTTGTTGTGTCCCCTTGTTGTTGTGTCCCCTTGTTGTCGTGTCCCCTTGTTGTCGTGTCCCATTGTTGTTGTGTCCCCTTGTGTTGTGTCCCCTTGTTGTTGTGTCCCCTTGTTGTGTGTCCCCTTGTTGTGTGTCCCCTTGTTGTTGTGTCCCCTTGTTGTTGTGTCCCCTTGTTGTTGTGTCCCCTTGTTGTTGTGTCCCCTTGCTGTTGTGTCCCCTTGCTGTTGTGTCCCCTTGTTGTTGTTCCCTTGTTGTGTCCCCTTGTTGTTGTGTCCCCTTGTTGTTGTCCCTTGTGTGTCCCCTTGTTGTTGCATCCCCTTGTTTTGTGTCCTTGTTGTGTCCCCTTGTTGTTGTCCCCTTGCTGTTGTGTCCCCTTGTTGTTGTGTCCCCTTGTTGTTGTGTCCCCTTGTTGTGTCCCCTTGTTGTTGTGTCCCCTTGTTGTTGTGTCCCCTTGCTGTTGTGACCCCTTGTTGTTGTGTCCCCTTGTTTTTGTGTGCCCTTGTTGTTCTGTCCCCTTGTTGTTGTGTCCCCTTGTTGTTGTGTCCCCTTGTTGTTGTGTCCCCTTGCTGTTGTGTCCCCTTGTTGTTGTGTTCCCCTATTACTGTGACCTCTTGTGTCCCCCACAGCCACAACACAACACACAAAACTCTTCAACATCCCTCGTGTCCGCCTCACACTATACAAAAATATAACACACACAAAGGGCCCCAAGATCTGGAATTCATCGCCCGAGTCAGCAAAACATCCTGTCTGCCAGTCAGTTTAAACCTATAATTAAAAAATCACATCTCCTAAACCAAACTAAACCAAACATAACCAACTCGTCCAACTAACTCCGTTCCTTCAAAATCTCTTATATAATCTTCCCGCAATCTGAAATTAAAGAACCAGTCTAAAACTATATAAGAAATCCCAGTTAAGACTACCACATCAATTTAAATATTAATACACACTTCAAACTGGATTATTGTAATATTCTTTGCTACCTCTCTATAATATTTTTTTTCAAATTATACTTTTGATACCTATTTTTTGAAAATATACGTAATTAAAATTCACAATAGCCTATGTAGTGTGTAAACAGCATTAGTCTGGTAACCTGTTTTGTGATGTGTTGTACTCATCCAGTTGTGGTTACAGGGTTCGATTCACAGCTCCTGGCCCCACCTCTTCACTGGTCACTACTAGGTCCACTCTCTCCCTGCTCCCTGAGCTTTATCATACCTCTTCTTATACCTATGTATGGTTCCTGCCTTCATTATATCACTCTGCCAGAAATATTCATGCATATTAGTGACTTGATTTTGTGATGAACAATATTCTATTACATGTAAAATACGGCATCTCCTCACTTAGCAACGTACTTGTTTACCAACGACTCAGACTTACGACGGGCTCTCTGACCAGTGTGCATACCTAAATAATGTAGTATATTAGAGCTGATTTCCTCTATTCTGTTTATTACAATATACATTACACTACTGTATAAACATTTAAAAATATGCGTACTAAAAATATTGTAAATGTACAAGGGTGACATTAAAGCAATATCAAAGATGGTTGACATAAACCCACTACCATTATAGCATGCTCCTCGTTTAGCAACGAATTTGTTTATCGATGTGATATTAGGAATGGGCCTCCGTCGTTAAGTAAGGAAAGGCTGTACACAATGTATACTACTCAAAGAAATAAAGATTTTGATTTGATTTGATTTTTATAATTACCATCAGTGATTAAGTCAAACAATTACTGTAACTAAATACAGTGGACCCTCAGCTAACGATATTAATCCGTTCCTGAAAGCTCATCGTTAGCTGAAATTATCGTTAGCTTCATTAATTTTCCACATAAGAAATAATGGAAATCAATTTAATCCGTTCCTGACACCCCAAAGTATGAACAAAAAAATTTTTTTACCACATGAAATATTAATTTTAATACACACAAACTGACACATACCTTTATTGAATATCTGGTGATGATTGATGGGATGGGAAGAGGGGAGTGTGTGGATGGTGTTAGTGTTTAGAAGGGAAATCCCCTTCCATTAGGACTTGAGGTGTCAAGTCCTTTTCCGGGGTTACTTCCCTTCTTTTAATGCCACTAGGACCAGCTTGAGTGTCACTGGACCTCTGTCGCACAACATATCTGTTCATATTATTATAATAAAAAATAAGCGCTAAGCCACAAGGGCTATACAGATATCTGTCCATGGAGGCCTGTACCTCCCGTTCCTTTATGACTTTCCTAAAGTGGGTCACAACATTGTCAGTGTAATAGTCACCAGCACGGCTTGCAATAGCTGTGTGAGGGTGATTTTCATTCATAAAGGTTTGCACTTCAAGCTACTTTGCACACATTTCCTTATTATTATTATAATCAAAAAGAAGCGCTAAGCCACAAGGACTATACAGCACACATTTCCTTAATCTTTGTAGTAGGCAACTTCCTCAATTTCTCTATCCCCTCCTCCGAAGCAGTTTCCTCAGGTCTGCCCTCTTGCTGTTGAAGATGATCTTGCAGCTCATCAGTGGTTAGTCCTTCATTGTCCTCCTCCACCAACTCTTCCACATCCTCCCCACTAACCTCCAACCCCAAGGACTTCCCCAATGTCACAATTGATTCCACAACTGGCATAGGCTTCTCAGGGTTAGCCTCAAACCCTTCAAAATCCCTTTTGTCTACACATTCTGCCACAGATTTTTCCAAGCAGAGTTTAAGGTCCTCTTAGTCACTTCCTCCCAAGCCTTACCTACAATATTTACACAATTGAGGATGCTAAAGTGATCTCTCCAAAACTCTCTTAGAGTCAATTGAGTTTCTGTGGTCACTACAAAGCACCTTTCAAACATAGCTTTTGTGTAGAGTTTTTTGAAGTTTGCAATAACCTGCTGGTCCATGGGCTGCAGGAGAGGAGTGGTATTAGGAGGCAAAAACTTGACCTTAATGAAGTTCATGTCCCCAGAAAGTCGCTCTGCCACGTCTGAAGGATGACCAGGAGCATTGTCTAATACCAGGAGGCACTTAAGGTCCAATTTATTTTCCAGGAGGTAATTTTTCACAGTGGGGGCAAATGCATGGTGTAACCAGTCATAGAAAAGGTCTCTAGTGACCCATGCCTTACTGTTTGCCCTCCACATCACACACAAATTAGCCTTGAGGACATTGTTTCTCCTGAACACTGGGAGTTTCAGAGTGATACACCAATAAAGGCTTCACTTTGCAATCACCACTAGCATTAGCACACATCAAGCGAGTAAGCCTGTCTTTCATAGGCTTGTGTCCTGGGAATGCCTTTTCCTCCTGAGTAATGTAGGTCCTGTTTGGCATTTTCTTCCAAAACAGGCCTGTTTCGTCACAATTAAACACTTGTTCAGGTTTCAGTCCTTCACTGTCTATGTACTCCTTGAATTCCTTCACATATTTTTCAGCCACTTTTTGGACCGAACTGGCAGCCTCACCATGCCTTATCACACTATGTATACCACTACGATTCTTAAATCTCTCAAACCAACCTTTGCTGGCCTTAAATTCACTCACATCACCACTAGTTGCTGGCATTTTTCTAATTAAATCCTCATACAACTTCCTAGCCTTTTCACACATGATCGCTTGAGAGATGCTATCTCCTGCTATCTGTTTTTCGTTTATCCACACCAATAACAGTCTCTCAACATCTTCGAGTACTTGCAATCTCTTATTCGAAAACAAAGTTGCACCTTTTGCAAGAACAACTTCCTTGATTGTCGTTTTCTTGGCCACAATAGTAGCGATGGTTGATAGGGGTTTCGTATACAACCTGGCCAGCTCGGAGACACGTACTCCACTTTCGTACTTAGCAATTATCTCTTTCTTCATATCCATACTAATTCTCACCCTTTTTCCTGTAGGGTTGGCACTAGAAGCTTTCTTGGGGTCCATGGTGACTTATTTTGC